TGATCAGCTCAATCTGTTGTGGGTTCAGGAAAAGAAAGATATCAGCAGGCACCGTACTGAACAGGCACGAGCACAGCACGTGATGGAATTCACAAATCGCAATGCCATCGACGGAGCGTGCTCAAAACGGCGATTACCACATCCTCCCCGCGCTCCCTGTATCGCTCGCGTGTAGCACTGCCCTGTCGTGTCACATCCAAGCTCCCCGCATTGACAAATCAGCCCATCCACTTGGCTGCCCCCTCCCAAGCCGCTGAGCATCTTCAACGCCGGGCAGCAGGCGATCGCATGAGTCAGCAAGGCAGTCCTGAAAGAGCTGCCTGAGTCACGCTGCCAGCGGCGTCGGAAGCAGGGAGGAGGAGGAGGAAGGTGCAGGCCACAAGCCTCTCCCCACCTCAGCCCGGCTGAACTGGAAGGCCATCTCGGGCTTTGAACCCACAGCAATGACTGGATGCAACTCATGCAGCTGCGTGACAACAGATTTCAAATCTGTACAAAGTCGGGGCAGGTAAACCGGTGGTCTTGCCCACCCTATTCTATTGCGATGATCAGCCCCCAGGCTGCAGTCGCTTGAAGAGATGATGTGCCTGGAATGCTCTGTGCTGTAGCGATGACTGGCCGTTTGCTACTGTGAAAGCGTTGCCACTCAAAGAGCGATAAAGTGAAAAGACCTGGGACGCAAGTGACATTGTGTTCTGCAGAAATGCATTAACATTAGCCGCCCTTAATGCTTCATTCACTTAGCATTGAAAGAGAAAGGCGACGTAGCGCCACTCCATCTGAGAGAGGGAAAACTCTCCCTGCTTTCCAACACACTTAAAAATAGCCATTTCACACCCAGTAGGATACACATTCACAAGTGGCTCATACCCAAGCCACTGAAGAACCTGCTCTCTGCAGTGTAGGTACAGCTCACAGGCGGACGACGGTATTTGCAAAACAACAGAAATAAACTGGGCAAAACAAGATAAGTAAACTGATGCAAAGCTCCTAGAATAGCCCAGTGCTTCTTCGTGCTTTCCTACATTCGAACAATCCCTTAACGCCTCCCAGTGTCACAGGCTCCAACAGATTCACGATTACAGCTGCAGTGTTTCCAACAACAACAACAACAACAACAACAACAACAAAAAAGAACAGAAAAGTGGCTTCTTATCTAAAACCTTGTAAAGAAATGTATTTGATCACATCTGCCAGGGACATCTCTTTCTCTCGGCTGAATGAAACACATCAGGACAAATTTGAGCCCGGCACCAGAATCTCAAGAATTCTAACCTGCCACGCCAGCAGCAATCCTGCAGATCAGAATTATCGGTCTAAGTGATCGGCGTAGGTGGAGTTCTGGAATTTCCCCTGTTAAGGAATACCTGTTCCCCAAGGACTGCTTGATCAGATACAGCATGAACTCAAGACATCTGCTCTGATGTGAGGAATGCAAAGCACTTCCCAGACACACTGGAACCTAGTGCTGCTGAACCTGTATGGATCATACTGGGTCTTTAATTAACACGTTCAGCCATGTTCACGCTAGCACAAATGTCCAAACTCCCCACTGTGATGCATTTTGGAGCTGTTCTTGGGGAAAATGACTCCATTCTCTTTGTGTGTACATAACTAAGCTTCAGTGGCTTCAACTAATTTGCACATCTGTTATTGAAAAAAAAACTTTTCATTATTACTTATTGAAATATAGAAGTGTCATCAACATTTGTGATGCATCACTTTAGGCAGACAGAACCTTCTAAGGGCCACTGCTGTTTTGTTTTGTTTTATTTTGCAAGACATTTTAATTTCTTAACTGATAATGACTGGAAAAGTCTGCAGTCTGAGCTCAAAGTGCCCATCCTTGTTTCCAAGGATGTTTTCAAGCATATGGTTAAACTGTTTCTGTCTGTTGCTTGCTCTTATTAATCTTACATTTCCCCAATGCTTGGTGACCTGTCATATTATTTACCAGATGGTTTCTTGTCTTTCACTGCGCTGTCTTCTGTGCCGCAATGGTATTCAATGGCCTCTTGACCAAGTCATCATTGTAAATGAGAATTTGTTCACCAATGACTTGCATAAATTCATTAAAATGGGGAAAAAACACCTTTCGATGCCTCAAGCACAGCCAAAGAGCTATTTATGGACTAGAATTATACAATAAGAAACACTAGCGAACCATCTCCCTTTTCTCAGGACTGGCTTTGAGAGTACTTTTGTTCTTAGCAGACTGTTTATCAGAGACCCACATGGGGCGGAGGAATCCTACTCCGTTAGGTCCCTGAGCAAGGCCCTTAACCCCAGCTGCTCCAGGGGGGCTGTACAATGGCTGTACCTGCACTCTGACCCCAGACTCTCATTTTCTGTGTGTCTGTGTCTCATGGGGAGCAAGCTGGGGTATGCGAAAAGATTAATTCCTAAAGCAAGAAATTGTATATGGCTAATAAAGTGATCTTATCTTGTCTTATAAATATCAGAATTAAGCGTAGAAATCAGTGGGTAATTATTCTGCCCATTTTTCTCTAACAAGACAGCCTGGTTATTGACGTGCTCCCTCTAGCCTCGGGCAGCACAGTACAGACCCACAGACGAGGCACGGCCCCCCTGCCCAGGGCCGACAGACAAGGACATCAGAGATGAAACTCCAAGGCTTCCACAGGTTTCCAGCCTGCCCTCCCTCAGACCGGCAAGCCCAGAGGACAGTACTGCTGTCAGTCACTGCTCTGGTCCCCCGCGCAGGGCGGATCGAGATCCAAACCCCTCGCCGAGGAGAGCTGCCGGTCCACCATCCCAGCCCGAAACGACAGAGACGTCCTGTTGGCCGGGCCGCTCTCTGGGCCCTGGAAAGTCCGACTGCAGCCCACTGACTTTCTTCCCCGTCAATAACCAGTTAGGGTAGAAAAAAAAATGAAGAAACAGCTCAGACCCCACATCCAGGGCTCAAGTCCTTCTGTACTTGGTTATACTGTGGCAAAGGACCAGAAAGCCCGTCTGCATCTCAGGCAGTTCTGAACCCACACTGTTTAATCCAGCAGTACTTCTGTGGCCAGAAACAATCCATTTACAACAGGGAGAGAATTTACACTCCCATTCACGCAAACCCGAACAATTCGTTATTGACTCCGCAAGCGGTTACCACACGCGATCCTCCCGTAATCAATCATTGGTATTTACAACGAGCTCAGGAAGTGCGAGCAGAAATGGAAAAATAAATAGCACAATGTGAGGGAAGACAAAAAGAGGAAGCAACAGAAGTCCGTCCCATCTCTTAAACCCCCCACCCCCCACCTCCAGCCCTGCAGAAACAAATCCCCCCCCAACACGATTGGCAGGGCCGACTCTACACAAATTGCCCAGAATCGGGGGGATTAAATCCCATTCCAACACGGCACCCCTAAAGAGTCACAAGGTAACTGTTGCAGGTCGCTCGGCCTGTGCTTACCAGAAGCCACGGGGCATCATCACATCCGTTTCTCTCTAGAACGCCACGGGACCTCTGGGTTTTCGGAACCGGATCATCACCAAGATTTAATCACTTCATCTCGGGCGAGTAAACTGGCGCTTAAAAGATGCGAAACGTGGGCTTTTGATCTTTTTAATTGAAGACTTTCAACATTAGAGCCGTTTCCAAAGAATCCCGTTCTGTTTTTCTCCATCCGTACTTACTGATGTAGTTTCATACATTTCTACTGCGTGATCTTAGCAGCCAACCAGATTCATTTCAAGAATTCCAAGCTGACTGGGATGGACATTTATTATTATTTTTTATTTTTTATGTTCATTCTGACATTCAGATACACGTCTGTGGGGGTTAACTGTGAGTTCAGTGAGTTTAGAGGCAAAACTAACGAGAAAATATTAAAAGCGCAAAAGGGGCTCATCGCATTTGGGGATGCTAATTGTAAAAAAAAAGTTGCGTGACGACAATTGGTTTCGTCATCCTTTCGCTTCCAGCGATTATTTATCGTCTGTAACATAAATTGATTTCAAATCGTGTTGGAAATATTGGAAATCGCGCGGTGTAGAACAATCAGGATCGATACTACCTTGCTAGTACAACCGTAACTTAACGACTTAATTCCCACTCATTTGACAAACGTAAGATGTAGAGCAGGGTGCTTCTACACTTTTCGTAACCAAAGAACGAGTAGCACACCACAACGAAAAATGAATGAAGACGTTTGCAGCTATTTATCCTGTGCATTAAAAGACCACTATATGCTAATAAAAATACAAGTTTTCCATCCATCACTCTGCCATTAAACAACAGGAATACGTGGCTTTCACCTGATCTACAGCAGATACCGAATTCGTGTGCAATCCTCAGTAAAGTTTGTGACCTCTAAATTTCCCCTGATCTTATTTATTTGCAATTGCCACAATGTTGCACTGTTAACAAACGGAAACATCACAGAGGTGTTTTACGTCTTCCGTTATAACCTGATATGATCATCTACAGAAACACAGGTCAAACACTACTACAGCTCTCGCAGAACAGATGTTCCCCTGCTCTCTCCGCAGGTCAGGTCACTCGGCGACCGCTGCTGACCGGTTTAGACCGAATGCTGAAGTGTGGAAACGGACGAAAGCATCAATTTGTGCAGTTTCCGAAAAAAAAAAGAAAGAAGAAATGCTTTCCATTGTACAGCCAAGCAAAAGGCAAGACTCGGAGAAGGCATCCTCTGAAATGCACAACAGCGGCGGTCTCCTTTAACACACATACCGTAGAAACCGCTTCATTTACAACAAAGCATCCTCATTTTGACGTGCGCTGTTAGGCTTAAACCCCTTCCGCAAAAACCGAGAGATCCCCGAACGCCGTCGCTGTCGGACGGTGAATCACTCGAAATCACGCTCTTATTTTGCAGGCAGGAGGGCTCTGACCCCCAAGCATCAGTCACCCAGGGAAACTGCAACCGGGCACGGGGGGACTGTTCATTCAAAACGCACACGGGTCAGCGTCTCAACGAGGCCCCCTTCCACGAGCAGAAAGCTCCCCCCCCCGGCGGACTCACCGGCTGCTGCTTGCGCCGAGCGTTTGCCCTCCCGAGCGGAGCCTGGTGGTGCTGCGGCGGAGCCCCCCGGCTGAAGTACTCGCCGCCGGCTCCGTTGCCGCCGATCCGGTCACGCTTCTCCCTGCTGTTGGAGCCCGCGCCCTCCCGGTCCTCTCCCGAATCCAGGCTGCTGAAGTTCCACACGATCAGCGTCTGCACCAGCAACACGGTGAGCGCCGCGATCAAGGCGGACCGGGAGCGGCGAGCCAGCCTCCGAGCGCAGGGAACACCTACCATCTTCACACTAGAGCTGCGAAGAGCCGACGCTCGGTTTTGAGGCTCTGCGCTGCCCGGTAATACGAAGGAGGAGGAGGAGGAGGAGGGGGGAGGTACGGTGTGTGTGTGTGTCGGGGAGGGATGGCTGGTGAAGTCTGGCAAATACGAGAGTGAACAGGGCCCCCGTGTGGCCAGAGCCAAGCGAGTGATGGGCTGGAGTGGGTACACGCTGCCAGTCCACCGAGAGGCGACCCGGCGGATCTCGCCGATTTGAATAAACCCTTCTGAGCGCAGGCTGCTGGAAGAGAGATGGAGGGCATCGCTGCACTGAAGGCAGAAAAGAAAAGAAAAGTGGCCATCAGGATCACTGGCGCATGGGCACCGCCAGCACACAGCCTCAGTCTAGCGATGCCGAAGTACCTGTGCAAGTCCCAGACATCAGTCGGTGTGACTTATTACGCGCAGCCCGACGACTCGAGCGGAAACCACCTTATTTTCTCAGGTGTTTGAGCAAAGCGGTGGCCTGTGAATGCGACACCGTGCCACCCTGCTTTTACGGTGAAACCGACAGAAAGACGCTATACAAAATAACACCCACTGTGAGCAATGTGATGTTTTACGCCTTAGCCAAATATTTTATGTAATAAGCCACTGGTACAGAAACCCAACCCATCTTGTACATGAAATATTTATGCACTCATTAATATTTACTCCGATTGTTTGCTTCGTCGGCTAACTAAACACGTGCCAGTCTTCCGACTAGCAATATCAATAGTCTGGTTCTGTTGCAAAATGCAGGCTTTTGTAAACACGGTTAACTCCACTTTGAAATAATACAGTACTAAACAGAAACTGCGCTGCCTTTCTATTTTTTATATGTATCACAGCATAAAATGAGTTAATGCATTGGCCTACGGTAGTTATCAGTATTTTCGCTGAATTCATTTGCTTTTCAGTAGGTGGATTTGGAAAAGGAATTGCATGTCAAGGCAGGATTGTTTTTAAATATGAATACTGATTAGTTATGCATGGCAAATGTTATATGTTCGGGGGGGAAAGGGGGTTATTTAAACTCAGCGTGTTGACAGAATTTGAATTTTAAAATGACCGGCCTTCCACGGTGAAAGTCTACGATTGGACCCCCCTTTGTTTACGACAAAAAAAAAGTCACCTGTGAGAATCCCTGCATTGTAGTTCCATGAAAATTACGGAAATCGTCACTTTGAAGAACTCTGCAAACGCTCCATTTGCGATGATCCTCTACGGGTATATTCTAACTGCTTCCTATTAAGAGTTTTAGGGAGAAAGTTATTATTTTTAGTTAAGTTAATTGCGTTTCGGTGTTTTCACCGCAGTTTAACTGCGTCCGGTAGTGCGACTGCAACGCCTCTCTTCAACAAGCCCAAGTGTCGCTCTGACCCATCGCGGTGGTTCTCCGGGGTGATGACTTCCGCTTAAGACCCCTCCTCTGGGCCAGACTTTCTCTCAGGGGAGACCCGTAAACCTCGTGTTTGTGAAAGGGGGTCACGACAATTAATCCCTTTCACGGTAACAGAAGCACAGCGGACCTGTGTCGTGAGTAATCCACAATGCTTGTGCGTCAGCTTTGCACTCATTTGCTCCGCAGTCAATGTTTTGGTGCGCAGAAAGCGCAAATTTTATATTCATTTCATTAGGTGCCATGTTTGTGCCTTCTGAGGTGTGGAGACTGCGGGTGTGTAAACCATGACGCGCCTGTATATGCATGACGGAAGGGTTGTTAACAGTATAGCGATTGACTGCACAATGCAAATTTACTAAACAGCTTTTAGCCTGCATCTCAACATGTTTCTAGACACAATTCAAAGTTGATGAATTATGAACCTGCTCAAGACCCTATCGAATCACTTTATGTCTAGAGTATGCCACTAGGCAGACAATAAGAAAAATCACCATATCGCCACATCACTGTCACCATCTTCTGTTAGGCAAGCGTCCCGATATCAAACATGAATTAGGAAAACAAACATAAGCCAAAAACATTTTACATACTAAATATTTTGGTTTGTGAGATGTTTGGATGAGAAGAAGGAATACCTAGGTGCAATGAGTCATGGATATTAATAGTAATTACCTATTTATCCAATTATAATGCCAATGGAGGCAGAACTGACATATTATCAGATGACTTTTTTTTGTCCATGTCGAGTCACAGCAGCTACAGACAGCTGTTTCACCAAACATAAGTGTGGTATAGCTGCACTCTGCCAGCTGTTTCACCCTTAATAGGATTCATCAGTGTGGCACAGCCAATGACGTATTCATGCATCTTAGCGTGAATGCACTCTTAGTGTAGTGAGGGCAGAACTTGAAGTTATAAGACATTTCCATCTCATGTGGTGTTGTCCGTGGATAAGGAGTTAATGAATACAGCTACACTTAATTCCCACCCAAACCTGAAGGGTATTCAGTCCAAGACAGATTGCATTTAATAAAACAATTTTGTATTTGAATAGGAACACCAAAATTAAGCGACAAAATCAACAAGCAGTGATATAGCAGAGACAAAGAGTGAGAGAGAATGTATCAGCTCGTATTAAATAACTGCATTGTTCTGTCCAGCATCATACAGAGTGACAACACCAGAGCACCCCAGACCAGGAGGTGGAAATTAGGAATTTAATTAGAGTGGATTTATCTGTTAGTCACCCCAGGCACATAGTGAGACACTTTACTACCAACCAGAGGTCTGTTGGTAGTTTGTCCCTTAATATTTCCAAAATAACAGGGTAATACAGCTTGAGAAATATGTCGTCTGAGTAGAAGGAAATTATGTTTTTATTCGTCACTAGCTTCGTTTGCCTCATCTGCAGTCTGATACCTGAGCAGGTACCATCCCCACTCCCTGCTGCGTGTCAGTCAAGGATGATGGCGGAATCAAAGACAATCCGTTACCAGTGGAATACTCACCCCCCCGCGAAGGTGAGAATTGCACCGCACAGTTTTGTGTTTTAAAATCGCACAGTGCTGCGCTGCACATAAAGTGTGCCGGTTTCTGCTTTCCTAATCCCACGAGTACAGAGCAGACGAGTGGTCTGCCCAGTCCTGGAGAGCTGGAACCCCACTGGAAACAAACTCCAGATCACTGAATTAAAAGCGAAGAATGTTTGATGAACTCATGAAATGGTAGTCAATTCATTCATGAATTAAATGAACACAAAGGCAACCTCGGCTGGAGACTGGAAATACGTATTGCTATTTGATCTATGGTTCATGATAAATCTACTTCACCACCAAGGTCACAAACAGCAAAATATGTATACCAATTTCACTGGAAGACCAAGTGCTAATTTAAAAAAAAAACAGCTGGAAAGCATCCTTGGAACAAGAAGACACTAGCCACCAGATGAACATGATTGGCTGAGCATCCTTTCCACTTTCAGTCCTTGTCAAGCTCTTATTGTAAGTTAATTACTAGCTGGTGTTGAATCCATACCCTCAGACATATCCACTGTGATGCAAATTAAATGTCTCTCACAGGCAGTAAATGTAATATGTATGACATACAATATGTATACGGCAGCTATCATTTACTCTGTTTAAGTAAATGCGCTGAGACATATCCATGCTGTTGGCTGGATATCTCATTTTATGGATGTGCAGACATAAATAATAACCATATTGAGTACAACGTAAGTTACCAGACCATCTTATTAGTTGTAGAATAAAATTATGAGCTACAGCATTTTCACGGTTCAAATGAGAATGCTAGTGCATCACTTTTAGAAGTCCTATATACTGTACGTGCTGGAAGAGGACTTGTGCATTCAACAAAAAATGGAGTCTCACTGGCAAGTGTGTTTTGGACACTTGGAATTCACAGCTTGCATCAACTGCTTTGGCTGAGGTTTGGAGACTATCATCCTTTCAGCCAGGCAGATGTGATTAAGGGGAGATCTACTTCAGCGTTTTAAAAATAAAATTCTTCAGCACTCTTTTTAAAAAACGATTGCACCATGTTTACGTCTTGTCAGGGATAAGTAAAAAATCCAGACAGTCAGAAAGAAATAAATCAATTTCAAAAGAGAAGTTCAAAAGAACAGGCAAATCCTTTAAACCAGCTCATTTCCAGAGCCAAAGAAATTCCTGGACGTAATGGTTTTGACTTTAGTTTGCAGCTGGGCAGGCAGCAATGTGCAGGTACTGTCCCAGGAGACAAACAGTACATAACACCCCACCCCACTTTAGTGTGAAGCAATTTATCTTCTTCAATTAAAAGTCAACTGGTTCAAACTTTGGTCATCACCAGAACATGGGGGAATGAATGAAAACTAGGTTTGAGATATGTTTTGAATGTTTTTGGATGATGATCGAAACATATTGTTAAGTTACAATATGCCATCTAAAGCCTTTTGTAGTATTAAAACAGACATTTTAATATCAGTAGGCTATGTCTCTGCTAAGTCAACTCTGGAAGAATTTATTACAGGATGGAAACACGCTCTGATGGGTGAAAAGGCTGTTCTCATTTTTTGAGAGTTTGCATATTTATCGGCACTTTCTGAACTCTCTTCTCCACAAAGTTTTTCCTCCTGTTCATACAGTAGTTCTATTTAGCTCATAATTTTGCGCTTTCGTGTTTTCTGTTCATAAAAAAAGAGGCTTTAGGAAATGTAATGCACAGCTACAAAGTTAAAAGATATCTTCGTTCATTAAGGTTGTCAGCACTGCACACAGAATACAGAAGCATCAAAAAACACTTTCAAGTGCATCAGGTTTTTTGTCTGAATTGGCAATGCGAGTTCCAAAAGTGCCTTATTATATCTCCATTTTACTTAGTTTTGACTTTTTTACTTAGCAGGCCTCTGAATTACTGAGTTTTCAGAGTTTTCTCAAATGCATTTTTCTTGAAACGGGGGAAAAAGCAAAGCACAGTGGTCATAATGTTACATCAGCTGCAGCTTCTGAGCTACAAAAGTAAGAGCAATGCAAGAACCACTAGGAAAAGACATAGCCTTTTCCATGGCCTTGGAAAGGAGCCTTTAATTAATTCCAGATGAATAATAACCATCATTTTGAATATGTATTCAGAGGTGCAGTAAAATGCATTTAAAAACTTGGTGCTGACAGGCTCTCCCTCCTTGGCTGTGGTATTTAGGAAATTAATCTTTCTTCCTTTATTTATTTACCAAGCCTTAGATAAAGTCTCTTATAAACCATAGAAATCCATCCTCTTCCTTTCCAGCCAGCTTGTCAGAAAGTGAGCATGTCTTGAGCATCTAGTGGAATTTCTCTGGATTTAATTGTGTTTCTGATAATCTCCGGAAACTGAACGCTAGCCAGGCTCGGGCTATGCCCACAGAGGAGCTGCTGCAGCAGCGCATTGCAAAGCCTCAGCTTTGTGCTGGAGGTGGCGAGTCAGGGTTTAAGTGGGATCGGTTGAGCCCAGATCAAGACAACCTGCTTAATGCACTTCAC